TTCTACAATAGTTAAACTAAATCCAAATATTTAAATTATAAAGTCTTGAAAATCAATTTTGTGTTTGTGGTATTTGTGAAATATTTGAAAAATAATGGTATTTATGAAACATTTAAAAAATGGTGGTAGTTTTGAAATAAAATTTCAAAGTGTGGTATCCTAGGAAATTCTTCTTAATTAAACTCCAACCATGGAGAAAGAGTTACCGTTTAACAAAGAAGACGTAGCTAAAACAGCGAAAATAATTGTCATGCAAAGAACATGAGGATACATATATGAAAAAATGACCTAATGAACAAAAAATATCACATAGGATGTTTTCCGCTCATTGACAACACCTCCACACTTGAGAAGCTTGACAAGAGAAGGAGAAACCGAGAACACGATGAAATATGGGATCTCCAAAGTTGAAGTTGCTACAAGAGCGGCTTTGACTACGACGGTCTCTGCTACTAACACCGAAGGTACAAAATTGTAAGTGTCGGAGACTTGATGCAAAGAAACCTTCTTTGCGATCTTAAGGGATAGAGATTCAGAATATAGCAAATCAAGCTCCAACACCTTTCTCCCTGCAATACAATCACTAAAACCAAGAGTGAAAAATTGGATGTTAACAACCCCCATAAAAGAGCAATATATGTCCAATATACCAAAGTTTAATGGAGCAAAGACAATGAAGAGCACTATTCCTTCAATCTCAAGAGAGACAAGTACTAAGGTCAAAGAGACACCTGGTAGCAACCTGCATACTGCAGTAATGTATCGCAAAGACGCGATAGAGAGAAGAAGAATTGATCCAGATTTTACTAGAAATATAGTACGGGCTCCTCTGAGGAAGTATAACCAATCGGTTCACAAGTCAAACAACAGAGCCAAACTAATCCAATATTCTTATCATACATAGAGTACTAAAGACTCCTAGATACATGATATAAGGAGAGCGAAAGGCATTGAACAAACCTGGCCAACTTAGCCGTTCTAAATCGACGGTGAAACACGTGAAGATGCAAAGGTTTATGAAGAAACAGAGGCTATTGCATCGAATAGAGAGTTGTACAGGCGGCAAGGAACTTGGAGTGGCGGGAAAGCTTTCGGTCAAGTTTTGCTGAGGTGGACAGTGGATATACACGCTGAGGACTTGAAGATCTTGGCGTGCATCAAATATGGAAGGATTTACTTGAAGAACAAGAAGATTTCTTTTTAGCATATTTGGAGAATATTTAGAGAGTCGTAGGGTTAGGGTTTGCGATATTCTAGTATATAAGGTCTAAGGATCGTGCCTAGGAGAGGTGATACTTAGAGCTGCAAAATTAAGAGATTGTAACTTGAAGCTTCGCCAAAAACATAAGCTGTCAAGGTGAGTGTTCCATCTATTGATTCACTTAGAGTGTGAAACCATTGGGTTGTATAGGTTATTGATTCGTGGATAGAAAGCAGTCGAACAACTAGATGTGTATAGATCCATATAGGTGAATCGTGTAAAGATTACTTATAAAGAATAATAGTAGATGCGTTTGTTTGGTGCCTTCCAAATAGAATTATGTGTTATGCACGTTCTCTAAACTTTCAT